CCGGAATTATGATAATGTCAGTCAGTTACTAAATAAAGTAATATATTTCTTACCAACGTTATCAAAATTTATCTAAAAAAGGAAAGATTTTCATGATTATTTTAGCCTATTCTACGCGTTATTTCTTGTTACCTATTTCAGTATTGCTCGGGGTCCTGGTAAACTTTGCAAATTTAATGTCGACCCTCCAGTAAAATATGAAAGTGAAAGTAAAATCGCTAAAAAACCTGTGGATCTCGGTGGAGGGTATGTTTTGCCGCAAATAATTCTATTTGATTTAATTCTTTCTAGGGTATAAATTCCAACAACAGGTTGCACATAAGCGGCAATGATGGCACGCCTACAAACACAGGTAGTTTAAGTGGTGGCATACAAAATATTAGATATTATGGATGATATAATTACTGCGGCGGTATTAGTAAGAAGACTCGTATATTTTAAATTTTGTAATTTTGTAATTTTAACTCATGTTGTATTGTTAGTCATAATAATAAAAAATAATAATATTAAGTAAAAATCATCATCATACGGCCCTATAGGATCATAGTGTACATGTTGTAATTGTTGTACCAATATTTAGCACATCATGATACTTCGTGCCACATACCATTATTAATCAATAACATATAATTATCATTTTCGTTCTTATTATTAACAGGACTGATAATTATTAAAACAATAGGGATTATTTTTATATTTTATATAGAATATTCAGGAATTCTAAAATATTTTATTATAAAGATCGTTGTATGTTTTTAATTATACTCTTGTACGTATCGGAATTTTTGGTCGGTTACACTAAAATTTTTTTGATGGTAGCACCAAAAACGAGGTGGCCGAGTAGATAAAAAAATACTGACAAAAATAAACAAAAATAATTAAAGAAGCAACTAATTAGTTGGTAGTAGACTAATGATTCACTTATTGGTTTTTACCTGCACTTTACCTGAATGAATTTACTTTCATCTTTTTGAGATATTTCATTAGCACTCGTTAAATTAAATAATTTTCTATTCAGTACGAAACTTTGAACAACCAGTTTCAGTTTATTTTCAAACTCCTCTTACTTTAATAAATTTATAGTGCT